ACTTAGGGTGCTGTGTTTCCACTGGGAAGCGAAGGAGGCTGGACTTGGGGGACACAGTCTGTGTCCCTTCGGGAAGCACAATATGAGAAAAGATAGCACCCTGAAAACGGCCTGGAAAGTCTGTAGGGTAGGAGTAAAGGCAGCAGGGGCTGGCGGTTAGGGCCTGATTAGGAGGAAGAGGGGTCAGGTGTGGGGGCCCACACCTTTAATGCCAGCACGTGGGAGGTAGAGACAGGGGATCTCTGAGTTCAAGCCCAGCCTGGTCTACAGAGCGAGTTCTAGGACAGCCAGAGCTACACAGAGAAACCCTGTCTCGGAACAAACAAACAAGAGGCTGGAGAGACAGCTCAGTGCTTTAGAGTACTCACTGTTCTTGCAGAGGGTCTGGGCTCAATTCCCGGCACCTATATGCTAGTTCTCAGCCCTCTGTAACTCCAGTTCCAGGGGATTCGATGCCCTCCTCTGGCCTCCACAGGCACCAGGAATGCACATGGTACGTAGATAAATATGAAGGCAAAAACACTTACTCATGTACATTAATAAATTAAGTAGGGGCTGGAGAGATGGCTCAGCGGTTAAGAGCACCCACTGCTCTTCCAGAGGACCAGGGTTCAATTCCCAGCACCCACATAGCAATTCACAACTGCCTATAACTCCAAGATCCGACACCCACACACAGACATACACTCAGGCAGAACACCAATGCACATAAAATGAAAATAAATAATTAAAAAATAAAGTAAGTAAATAAAAATTTTAAAGAGAGGAGTGGTATCAGGTGTCCTCACAGGCCCCTGGATGAGAGTGTGGTAAGCTACTGTCTAAATCTAGTTTATACAGAGAGGGGAAAGTTAGTACAGTGGTCAGTGCTTGTACTCCCAGCACTCAGGAGGCTGAGGCAGGGAACTGCTCAGTTCTAAACCAGCCTGGGCTGCATGGTACAACCTTGTTTAAAAAAAAAAAAAAGAAACAAAAAAAAAAAAAACTAAAATCAAAGGAAGCCCTAGTTTGACCTCTAAGTTCAGAGAAAACCCAAAACAGAGGGGAAGAGCGGAGGCCAGGGAGGGAGGAGATGATGAGAGATAATCCCACTCAAAAAGTAGTTCCTAGGCCTGCTGAGCACTAGGCGGAGGACTCAGCCTCACAAGGCTCCGTCTCAGGGAGGCTGTAGCCTAGGGGGTGACAGTCAGAGGAGCACTGCTCAGTGCCGGAGGCAAGGGTAAGAGTGGGAGCTTGACATTCCACGGGAAAGAGCTCTGCAGGAGGTAACTTCTGGGTTGGGTTTTGAAGGATGAGGAGGAGCTGAGGAGACTGATCAGAAAGTGGGAGCACTGGCTTCCCTGTAACACAGGTAGGGTGTGTTGGCTCCTGCGTTTGCCCTGATTGACATCTGCAGCCCACCTGGGCTCCAGAGACTGGGTAGTGTGGTGCCAAGAGTAGACGCCCCTATGGTTCACCTTCCCAGCTCCCTCCTGGTTCCAGAGCCTCGGTCCAACCCCGATTTGTTCCACCAGGTCTCCTCAGCACCTGGGTGTCACCTCTTCCTCTGTGGCTTGGACCAGGCCATAAAGGGGCTGCTCCACACCAACTGGCAACTGTGGCTGCCTTGGGCTGGACTGGGGAGAGTTTGGGCTTCTATTCGTGGTCAGTGGGGGGCACTGAGGGATTTCGAGCACAGCAACAAGTTTGAGTGAGCTTGACTGACTTAAGAAGTCTCTAAGGGAGCCAGGCAAAGGGTCAGGAGCTCAGTAACCAGTTCTGAGGGCGATGGAGAGCAGAGAGGTGGATTTGGATTTTCACAGTGTTAAAAATCTCCCTTCAATCGGTGTCACGTTTCCAGGGGAAAACCACAGCTTAGAAGTACAGATGAGTGGGCCAGTCAGCTCTTTTGAGCTGGTGTGAGCTGCCTCTTCAGGGCTGTAGTTTCTAAGTCAGTGGGTACCCAGCTCTCCTTCTGTCCTGGTTTATCACTTACTCCAGGGGACCAAGCGGATGGCAGCCAGGGTGGGCAAGGCCTCTCCTGTCTGAGACCTGACCTACATCTCAACTTTTGCTTGGTGACAGTGTAGTGTGACTCAGCACACGTCACCCCACGCTCAGGGTTGTGTGAGACCACTGGAGGACCACATACAGGAAGGGGCGAGGGGCAGGATGGGCTGGGCCCCACAAGGATAAAGACTACCCCTAGTTCACTCGTGGCACACATCAAACAGCTGTGAAGACGTGGGGATAAAGACTACCCCTAGTTCACTCGTGGAACACATTAAACAGCTGTGAAGACGTGGGCATGCAGGGAGTGCAAGGTGAGGGCCTTGAAGACAGTGGCAGGGAGACTCCCCAGGCAAGACGCCCCAGACTACCCATGCCTCAACCTACCTGTGACGAGATGTGTCTCTAGGCCTTAGTGCATCTGGTACTGACCCTCCCTCCTTGTCTCTGGGAAAAGCCCTGGTCTAAAGGGCTTGGATCCAACATGACCTCCAATCTGCTTGACCTTTCTTAGGCTCAGGTATCAACTAGGGCAATACTTCGATTTTTTGTTCTTGTTTTTTAGTGTCGGACTTTATTGTCATGTAGATTTTGGTTTTGTTTAGATTTTAAAATATTATTTTATTATTTATCTATATGTATGTAGAGAGGGGCCTCCATAGAGGGTACATGACTCTCTGGAACTGGAGTTATGGGCAGTTGTGAGCTGCCCCATGTGGGTGCTGAAAACTGAACTTGGTCCTCTGGAAAGGCAGGAGGCACTCTTACCCACTGGGCCGTATCTGCAGCCATTGTTTAATTTTAAAGCAATATATCTGATAGAAGAATCCACTAAAGTAGTGAAGGAAAGTCAAATCTATCACAACACAAATTCCACAGAGGCTAACATTTGACCTCATTTCCTCTGTCGCCTGTCATTTTCTTTTCCACTTTTCTATGTGTTCATGACTGGCATGCATGACCACACACACACACTACACATCGCACATGCTTTCTTAACTGCTTGTTGAAGGCAGGTGCTGAGATAAACCTTCATTCCCCAAGATTTGGGGTGCTTCATTAAAGCCAGGTGCTCTTTTACCTAATTGCAATGTAATTATCAAATATCAGGAAATCAGCATCGCTGCTTTACAACCTACAGATCTCAGTTTCACTAACCATCAATGATCTTACTAACATCCTTTACAAAGAGTGCTGCTTTCATCTTGTATGATGGTTGCAGGGGTTAAATGGATGCCCTTAACACAGAGGAGACTATTCGGGACAGCGTTGACACTATGGCTCCTTGCTACCCTACCTGTCACCCTTATTTTTCCCCAGGGTCCCCACGGTGCCTATGGGCACTCCAAGATCCAGATAGCACTGTGGCCCTGTCCATCTCCCCTATAGGACAGCAGATTCCTGAGGGTGGAGAGTGACTGCTATTCCCTTCTGGGTTCCCCTAGCTTAGCATAAACCTCACACCTGTGACCTTGATGAGTCCCCAGCCTTAGCCCTCAAGCCAACTGCAGTCCCTGGTCCCAGACCCTTCTTTTCACAGTGCTCAGCTGGCTGCCACTTCCTCATGTGGCATGTGGGTAGCCTCTGGAGTTGCTTCTAGCCCCAAGATATCCATGTCCCAAACCTGTGTCACCATTCCGCCCCCAAACAAGCCCCCACCACTTCCCCGCACATCAATGGCCCCACTGTTCTCGAATGACCCAGGCATGAAACTTTCGAATTCATCACCCCCATGGCTGGTCATCATCCACAACGGTTTTCCCTTCAAGCCATTGTTCATACCCACCAACCCCTTCCGAGGGCTCTGGTTCCCTCTTTCTTGGATTCTGTTTTGGTCTGAAGTCTGGATGCTTCTGTCCACTTTCTAAATGGCCAACCCCAGCAGAGTTCCTGGGGTTGTGCCGGGACCCTCCAAGAAATGCGCTGCAGTTTCCTGGCAGGACGTGACTTAACATCCATGAGCTCCCCCTCCTAACCCCTTGGCAAGGAACCTTGCTGTACGCTGGAGTCTGGGACCCAGGAGAGGCTGGGGACACCGGCTACTGCAGAAGGAGGAAGGAGCCCTAAAGGGTGTGTGCAGGGCACCACACTGAACTTTGACCTTTCAAGAACGTCCTTGTCTCCCAAGCTCAATGTTGCCTACCACCAGCCATCACCACCACTTATGCCCTCTGCTCAACCCCACTGGATCCTGCCCTTCGTCAGACACAGGGTAAAGGCCCAATGATGCCACACGCTGGCACCATCCACTTAAACCACACACACACACACACACACACACACACACACACACACACACACACGGCAGCAGGTGCCGCTCTTCTGGGGGTCTGCAGCTTGGCAGAGGAATTGAGCCTCGCATGTGCCAGGTTCTACCTGGAGGCAGATTTGGGCGGGAGGAATGGTATGCATGGATTTAGGAGGGGCTTGGAAGTGTTTAGGGGTCAAGCTGGGAGAGGCCAGGTGGCCAGACAGGGGCATATGGAAGCTAGGCTGAGAAAGGCTTGTGGAATAAGGGACTTCTGATCAGAGATGTATGGCCTCGGGGAGTCTTCTTGACATCCACAATTCCTGTAGACCAGGCTGGACTCGAACTCACAGAGACCCACCTGCCTTTGCCTCCACTGCCCAGAAATTCCTGATTCCTGTCTTCTAAGTGGGGTCAGCTTCTCCAATACGGGGTCTGGGAAAGCAACACTTGGCCATTTTACACAGAGCCACGGAAGGAAGGACTTAGCCAGGGTCATTGTGTATCTTTGGGAGAAGCCTGGTGGGCCATTTCCATGAGCCTAGAGGGTTGGGGGGGGAGGAAGGATGGGGGTCAAGCCTAGTGCCCCAAGTTCCTTTGGGGAGGGCGGGATAGGCCTAGCTGCTGGGAATCCTGGGAAAGAGCCACAGTGCCCACGGGGCCTCGCCAAAGCAAACCAAGCCGTGCTGGCTCTGTCTCCCCGTGCTGGGGGTGGGGTGGGGTGGGGTGGGGGGATGTCTGGCCCAGGGGAACGGGAGGAACCGGGTGGCGGATTTGTGTTTCCACTTGATTTCCTCGGTTGTTTTCCAAACGTGGTAGCAGTATCCTGAGGGGCGGGGTGGAGGCGGAGAAGCCACCGGAAGGCGCCATAGCCCCACTGCTGCCTGCCTGCCATGTGACTTGGCTGACGACAGTGCTGCGTGGAAAGGCCTAGAGGCTTCCGTCCTGGGCTGCTGGACAAGTGGGTGGCGTTGACCAAGGCACTGGGCCCACATGGACTGCGCCCCCGCGTGATCCGTTGTCTCCAAGCAGGCTGCCCCCGCTTGGGTCGACCCTTTGATCCTGTGAGTTAAGAGTGATCACGGTGGTGGCTGACTCCCAGTCTGTGTCATCCTGGGGGCCAGGTACTTAAACAGGCCTACAGCGGGCGGACACAGCCGCCTGTCTCTCCAGCTTCCTCTTCCTGCTTCACCTGCCCCTAAGCTGGCTCCTATTGTGGGCCCACCATCCTGGCTGGGTCTTGATACCTCTCCCGCTGGTCTTTCTTGCCTTCTTGGGCTCCACGCACTGGTCCCTGCCTTGGCCTGGCCTTATCCTTTCCACTCACCCCTGCTTCCTCTGACCTCCTCCCTCCTCTCAGGGTCTTCTCAGACACTGCCTGGTTGAGGGGTAGCCGACTAGTCCCAGCCTTCGTGAGGTTTTCAGCTACTCTGAGCAGTGGGATTGTTCCAAAAGAACCAAGGGCCCCCACCCACCACGCCCTGGGTTGGTGGGAGAGAAGTGCCTGGGGAAGGTTGGGTGGTGGAGGCAGGGAAGGGCTCGCTCTCTCTCAACCTTCGCTGTAGTCCCCATACTTTCTTCAGATGTGCAGCCTGGGGCATTGCTCTGAGACTCAGTTTCTCCCTCTGAAAAATGAGAATAACAGTGCCTGGCTTCCTGGAGAGGCCAGGCCTATAGAGCCCATGTCAGTGAGTCAGGATAAAAACCACAGAAACTCCGATCTCATATCCAGGGGAAGTAAAGGCCACAGGGTGAACAGGGGCTTTAACACAATCAAAAGCAAACTGAATTATTTGTTTTTCATATTTATTCACTTAGCGAGACAGTCTCTCATTATGTGGCCCTACTGGCCTGGAATCCCTGTGTAGACGAGGCTAGCCTCAAACTCACAGAGCTGCCTCTGCCTCCCGAGTGCTGGGATTAAAGGCATGCGCCACCACCACCGCCTGGCTCTGGCTGGGTCATTTATTTTTAGTGGGAACTAGGGTCCATTTGTAGCAACATCAGGCTCTGTAACTTAACTGAAGTTAATAATTAAATAATTGTTTTTGCACCACTTTCTGCATGCCAGGCCAGGGCTTAACTTAGGGACCAGTCCCATCCCTGACGTTTATCATTTACTGGACTGCCTGTGAGAATATGGCACCAGTATGGCCTTCATTCTGTGGATGAGAAAATGAGGACTTGGCGAGGCCAGGCTTGCTCACAGGCGTGTTTTAGAATGCAGACCAGGGCCTTCTTATGCATGGTCCTTCCTCGATGCCACTGCCCCCCCAGCCCCCTCACCCAGTCTTCTGTCTGCCTCTGCCTCCCAGTGTTCTCTGCACAGCCTGTGTCGGGAGTCCACCTGCTGGACTGCGTAGTGAAGTGTGCGCATGCCTGGTCCCCTTACACTGTTTCCATCGGTGGCCTTCCCTGCACCGGGCTGGTCTCTTGACACCACCCTAAGGGCCTGAAGAGGCTTCCACGGAGAGAAGAGGGTGCCAAGCCCTGGGGCTGCCTAAGGGCCACCACCTGTGGCCTCGGGTTGCTGCTAATGCCCAGGCCTGGCCCGATTCCCCCTCGGCTGTGTCTCTGCAAACCCGGCCAGAAGACTCACTGAGTGACGATGACCTCAGCTGAGTGACCCCTCTCTGCCCTCTGAGGGATGAATTCATATCCCCGCTCCCCCCACCAACCAGCCACCCCTCTCTGAAGCAGAGTCTCACTATACAGTTCTGGCTGTCCTGCAATTTACTTTGTAGACCAGGCTGGTCTCAAACCCAGACAGATCCTCCTGCCTCTGCCTCCCAAGTGCTGGGATTAAAGGCCTGTGCCATAGTGCCCGGCTGAATTCTCTTTTTTAATGCACCCACAAACCTGCTCAGTGGGTGTGGCTGTGCCCATTGGAAAGTGAAGCTTCGGGAAGCCACCGACGGGCGGCCCAGGACTTAAGCTCTGCTTTTTGGGAGCCATTTGCAGCAAGGTGCCACGGCGAGATGGGACTTCGGGGGTGCGTGTCCTTAGACACAGTCCACAGGAGGACTTCATGCTATGGGGCCGAGGCATTGTAGGTGAGGTTTGCCCTGTACAGTTGCTGTTCAGGGGCCTGTCACCTGCCTGCCACAGTGAGCTCACCTTACACACCTACTAGGTACAATTCCCACTCTTGGCACTTAGTAGGTATACATAAACACCAACAGCAAGGATTGGATGATGGTGGGATGGCTACCCAAGAAGGAGGGGCCTGTGGAAGTCATCTCCAAAGCTTCTATGCTCGAGACCTCCTGTAAAGCCTTACCCATGCACAGCACAGACCACACCACCCCTGCTCCAGGCCTTGGTGGACCCCTGACATCTTCCCTTGCTTTAGCCTTCACAGCTGGGCTCCCGACCCTCGCTTTTGACTTCTGTTCCCTCGTCTCCTTGGCTCTGTCTGCTCCTGCCCCGTTGGCACCCTGCCCATTCCTAAGCTCAGCAACACATTCCGTCTTGGGGCCTTGGCATGCGTTGGTCTCTGTCTAGAGCAGTCTTCTTCTAAGCACTCTTCCTTTCATTCAGAATCATCGTGAAACGTCTCACTCCTTCAGCGGTGTCCCGGCCCCCCTCCTCCTCCACCTCCTCCTCCTCCTCCACCTCCTCCTCCTCCTCCACCTTTTTCTCGACAGGACCTGGCACTTATTCTGTAGCCCAGGCTGGGCTAGAACTTGAGATTTCCCTACCTTAGCCTTGGAGTCCTGGGATGGTGGGCTCCCAATGACACGCCTGTGGCGATTTTGTTCTCATGTGACCTCCCTCCCGCTTTCCCTCTAGCCTGCTTCAGGGTTCACCACACAGCCTCATGTTAGCTCGTAGGTGTGTCTGGTGTCATAGGGGCGCTGGATTCGCAAGGGTAAAGTCAGTCCATTTGCCCATGGCCGTAGCCCCAAGGCTGGAAAGGTTGAGGACCGGGGGCTCCATCAATGTTGGAAGAAGGGAGGGGGGAGGAAGGAAAAGGACCTTTTAGTGCCCCTGCCTTGTTATCGATGTGGCTTCTAGAAGCCTGGGCACCAAGACCAGTACGTAGCAGGTGGGGTAAGAGGAAAAAGCTGCGCTGGGATTAAAGAAACTCAGATTTGAAGAACTTTCTACAGCAGCGTGAAGATGGAAGGTGCTTCGTCGTCGTCGAGGAGAGATAAGTTTCCCTGCAGCAAGAAGCGGCCCGGCAGCCTTGGAACTGGGTGGCGAGGCCCTGGAACGTGAAGGCCTTCCTCATAGCTCGTGCAGCCAGGCCGAGGCAGGTAGAAGCCCGTCTGTGGCTCGTCCCCAGGCCAGAGGCCGCTGGGATTTGGCCAAGCGGCCATGTTGGGAGTGTGACTCTGCAATTGAGGGCCGGGAGGCAGGAAGTCCCACCGCTCTGGACCGTAGCCCCCTCCAGCGCTAGCCTCTCCCTACCTCCCACAGTGGCCTCGGGCCCCTGTGCCCGCGCCCATGGGGTTAAATCTCTCCCTGTCTCTCTCTGCTCCAAGTTGTTTTCCAAGCGAGGCAGAGAATGGTTCTCTTGTTACCAACATGGCTTCTGGGCATTGGGTAATGCGCTCCCTCTTCTCCCTGCCCCGTGTCACAAAGGGACCTTTTGTTCCTCTCCCGGCCCCTCTCTCTGGCTCTCCTCTGCCCCCCACCCACCCCAGCTCCCTCCTCCCCACGCCTCCTGCCCTACTCTGCTGCACCCCTGGGCTGCAGGAGTGACCGTGGCCTGGCCGTGGTGCCCTCCCTCTCCCAGGGCGCCCTGGGAGGAGAAGGGACCTTGGCGGCCTCGGCGGCCATTTTGAAAACGGCTCGCCTAGGCGGTCCGCGGCCTGTGAGAGGCTGCCGGCATTGGAGGAGCCGCTCGGGGAAAGCCTAGGGCTCGAGTTGATGTCCTGAGGCCCACTTTCTGCCTCCAGGCGGGAATGGGACCCTCTTCTCCCAAGCCTGCAGCCCGGGCTGCGTCTGCGCACCGGGACAGGGTAGCTTTTCAGTCAGCCATCTCCGTTCATCTACACAGCGGCCTCCTGAGGCGAGGAAATTGCCCTGGGAAGTGCAGACCAGGACTCAAAGGGGATGTGTTGGTGTCAAGGCCTCGGTGTGCAGGTGCTGCGCTTGGGGCCAAGGCACAGGCGACTCCCAGCAGACCCCTCTAGAGAGGGCAACACGCACACTCGGTCTGGCCAAAACCAAATTCCCCGGCACTTTGCAAAATGAAACAGGACGTGTCTGCGATGGGGATGCCAGGAAGCCGGCCAGACAGTGAAGTGTCTGCTCTCTGGGAAGGTTTTGTCACTGTCCCCTCCCACAGCCACTCTGTGAATCGGGCCGGGAAGGACTGATGATATCACTTTTTAAATGAGGAAACTGAGTCACCGGGAAGCTCCACAGTCGGGTCTTCTTGGATCTCACTGTTCTGTCTTCAGGGCTACCGCCTGCCCATGCCCAAAGGGTCCAGAGCCTGGAGGGAGATGGGCAGAGACATTTAGGCGATCACAGCCACCTGGCCACGTCTAGAATCGCAGAAGCCGTCGTCGCTCTGAGGAGGCTGGGCTCGGCCACCAGAGCCCTGCACTTTATCATGCACAGGGGCTGGGAGAATGCGTGTGCGCCCTTCTGTCTCTGCTGGGCTTGCGTCCCAGGGAGGCAGAGGCAAAGGCAACCAGGAGCTCCAGGACTTGGTGGATGGGAGGTGAAGGACAGTGGGAGAATGAGGAGAGACCCTGAGTTGAGCAGCTCTCCCGTAGCCCCCAAATGAGTCTCATGCTGCTAGTCAGGGCGCCTGCACACACTGAGGGCTCCTGCTTCCTGTCTGGAAGCTGAGGGGGAAGGCTGCCTGGAGGAGGTGACGGGTTAGATTCTAGTGAAGGCTGAGGTAAGGAACATGGAGGAGCTGCTGCTGTGGAGAGGCATGAAGGAGATGGTGGGGTGGGGGAGCGTGTGTGCTGTCCCGTGTGTGCTGTAGTGGAGTGTGGGCAGGGAAAATGAGGGGTGGGCAGAGGCGAGTTGCCACGTGAGCCCAGAGGACTAGAGAAGACACATGTATCCTGAGGGCAGAGGAAAACGTAATGATCTATTTTGTGTTTGCTTATTTAGGAGACAGAGTCTGTGTAGCTCTGACTGTCCTGGAACTCTGTATAGACCAGGCTGGCCTCCAACTCCCAGAGACCTCCTGCCTGCCTTTGCCTAAGTTCTGGCATTAAAGGCCTGGCCCTAACTACTCACTGAGTTTATGGAGTCAGATTTATTTTGTTCTAGAAAGATCCCTGCCCTGTTGGCTAGGTCTGTGCTTGCCTGGCTTACTGTTGGGCCTCCAGCATGTAGCGCAGTGCCCAGCATCTGTCAAAGGTTTGAATCCGTGAGTGGTGCAGGCCACATCCATTGGGGCAGTGGCTCTCTCTAGCTGTGACACCAAGGCCCCAGTCTCTTCGTGCACATGGGGTGTCAGGTGCCGGCCTTGTGGGCCTGTTGCAGTGGATGGAGAAACATGGCCGCCTTACCTCCATGTCCTGTGTTCATGGCCAGCACTCCATGCAGGGTGTTCCTGGGGCGGGGGTATGGAGGCAGGGACTCTGATCAGAGGCAACAGTGATGATCGCCAAGGATAAGGTCTTCACACAGCACCAAACAAGCCATGAAGAAGGAAGGGTTGCTTGCCCTGTCACCTCATCCAGGAAGATGACACTCACGTAGGATTCACTCGGGGTACCTGCGCCTCTGAGCGGTGGGTGGAAATTCACTGGGTGCCGGCTCACAGGACAGGGATGGGTGAGACTCGAAGGGACAGTGCAGACCACAGGGTGGGGGCAGGCACAGGCAGGGAAGGTGTCAAGAGCAGCCACACCCCCACCCCTGTTTTCAGTAGATAGAAGGTGGTTCCATTTCACCGCAGGGCAGGAAGGTTTGAGGACCACGAGCATGTATGTGACGAGATGCTGTGAGGTCTGGGGTGGGGCTCACGGCTTGGGACTGGGAAAAGTGGGGCAAGGCCAGGGAGATTCGTGAAAAGCTTGTAGATGCCCTGGGCGTGGAGAGAGGAGGATGCTGGCTCGCCCTACTGCCACAGGGATGGGGGCCATAGAGGTCAGGTGACCAGCAATGTGGCCTGGAAAAGACAGGAGAGATGGCTTCGAGAGAAGGGCCTGGGCAGTGAACCATGCCCAGAGCAGAGCAGAGGTCAGGGTATTTGGGAAAGAGGACTTGCTGATGGTATCTGGGGCAGGGGTGGGGAAGGAGAGATCCTGACAGTGCAGGGGGAGAGCCTCATCATGGATGGACTTGGAGGGGAAGGAGATCCCCCAGCAGGCAGGAGAGCAGAGGAGGATGATTCTGGAGATGGGAGCCATTTGATGGTGGGAGAGGGGAGGCCGAAGGCTCTGTTCAGTGGCCTTAACACTCTGCAGTTGGAGGCTGGGTGCATAGCGCCTGGGGTGCTCTGAGAACTGGGGTGCATAGAGCTTGGGGTGCCCTGACAGCTGGCATCTCCAGGAGCTGCCAAGCTGCCTTTTCCTTCGTGGTGTTGGCCACATTCCTGGCCTGGGAGAAATGAGCCTGTCTTATACCCTTGCCATTCTGATGGTTTTCAGAGAGAGGTGCCTCACCTGGTGCTCAGCGGCTGCCATCACCCCACGGTGTGGGTAACAAGGACTAGACAGCTCCAGAGGGGTTGGTGGTCTCCAGCCACATCCCTTTGTGTGAGCCCCCCCTGCTCTTTCCCCAAAGGGCTGCAAACCTCTCATCTGCCACAACATGGTGCCAAAACACATGGCAGGACTTGAAGCATGTTTGCCCTGCACTTGTCTGCTCTTGGCAGAGTTCAAAGCCCTGTTCCCTGCCTACTCATGAGGACACCTTGCCCAACACAATATTCCTGCACAGGAGAGAACAGGGCTCCCTGTTGGTCCACAGGGGCGGGGAGGGGGGGCACGTCTTTTTCCCTGCTATCCAAACCAGACTCTTCATTTCCAGGGAACCCTTATACTTCTGTCATAGACATCAGTCATCCTTTCTGCTCAGTTCCCAGGACTGGAGCAACAGGACAGGGGACCAACCAGGGTGCACAGGGCAGGAGGGCCCAGGGCCTAGGCCCAGGGGATAGCTGTTGAGTTAACCTTACTTACCTCAACGTTTGCAGGTTCCCGTCATGAGGGGCTGCAGAGTCACCATATGACAAACAGGACAGACCTGCCACAACCACAAGGCAGGGCTGCTTCCCCAAGGACCATGTGCCAACCCAGGCTCTGTTGTGACTCGGTTCCAGGGGAGACTGCACTTGACTCCATTAAAGAAGATAGGTCTGTACAGATCTATGCCCGAAGATGCCATTGCTATGTGTGTAATAACAAAAGCTGGCCTTGTCTTAACGTTCAGGAGCACAGGACGGGAACCCACGGCAGATCACCTTCACGGAACAAACACATTGTGGTAGTAAAAACGACATTCACGCAGGATTTTAACGATGTTGGGAAGTGTAAGCATCTGTGAAACCCCACAACATAAGCAGATGTATCCATTCAGATAACTTCTCCAAGGGGCAACAAGGTAAAAACCAACAGTGTGTCCTGCGTGAATCGACTGCCTCTAAGCATGTGTAGAAAGGGAACAGGATGGGCTCGAGAAAATAGGACAGGCTGGGGATGACCCAATTGGTAAAGTACTTGCCATCTGAAGACCTGAGTTCAATTCCTGAAACCTACATGAGAAAGCCAGACATGATATCACATGCTTGCAATTCTCAACACAGGTGGATCCCTCTGCTCACGGGCAGCCAGCCTAGAAAACTTGTCAGGTTCTAGGCCAGTAAGAGTCCCTGTCTCAAAAACAGGGTGGATCGTACCCAGGACTGGCACCCCAAAGTTGTCCTCCAGCCCCCACCTGGGGAAGGTGGGGAGGTTGTACAAACTTGCTCAAGCACAGGAAACATACTTCAGAATATAACAGAGGGACAGAAGAGGTGGAGGGTTGTATCTGGGGCCTCAGCAAAACAGACCTCACCAGAGTAGATGGCCTGCTGTCCCCACTAAGTACGATGACCTGATGGCAATTAAAAGCCAGCAGGGACTCCTCCCTCCAAGAAGCATGGATGGGAAAGGGGAGGGGTTCCCCTGGGGCTGTGAATGCTTAGCTGCTGCAGCTGACAAGCTGAACTATCCACAGCCCTGAGCACAATATGGTCATTAACCCCTGACCCTGGCCCCCTACTTAGCCACTTCCTCTGCAGGAGGAGGGAGGGCAGGATTCCATCATGATGCTCTCTTCAATGGGGTTTGGGGGTCACAGCTCTCTCTCTCTGTGGGTGCCCCTGGAGCTTGGACCTCACACCCTCTAGTTCCATGACTACTTCAGGTTTGAGCAGGAGAGAGCATCCCTTCGGAGCATTCATGGGGCCAAGTGCTTCAAGGCAGAGAGCAATGTGAGAAGGAGGAATGGGAAAGCCTGAGACAGACAGGAAGGGTGGATAAAGCCTGCTCTTGTCCCCTCCACTGTGTGTTCAAAGGCAAGCTATGAAATAAGACGGTGGGTCTTACTCAGACATTAGCACATTAACACTCCTAAATAAGTCTCAGCAACACAGATCCAGCCAGGCAGAAGGACATGGACACGTCCTAGAAATGCGAGCCTGACATACTACTTGGAATCTGTCAACACAATTCATCACTGAATGAATGAATTCAGGAGACAGTCCCACAGCCATCTCAGCCCTGGAGACACATCTCAGCAACTCACAGGATGAACTGTCTCAGACCCACAGGGTGGGGGTGGAGCCTCCCTCCAAGCTGAGAGATCACTGCTGAAGCCCAACACAGTTTCCAGAGGGGCAAGAGACCCATCCCTCAAAGTCTTTGCATTTGCCACGCATCCAAGTGTCTGCTCCTGTTGTATCCGAGCTCCTCTCCTAGGCAGTGGGTCTGCACAGCCAACTTCCAAAACAAAACCTGTGGGCACTGAGAAGCAGGGTGCAGACCGACATTGCAGAGCCACACAAAACCCAAAATAGTCCACAGGCAAATGGCTAGAAAGGGAAATTTGCCCAAGAGACACATCCATGGAAGCACATAAAAGACTAACTGCTAATTTGCCCAAGGGACACATCCATGGAAGCACATAAAAGACTAACTGCTGGGCTGGTCAGATGGCTCAGCTTGTAAAGGCTCCTACTCAGCCTGATGCCTTGAGTTCAACCCCCAGAAACCCAAAGGTAGACGAGAACAAACTCCCATGGCTTACCCTTTGACCTCTGCACCTGGCCTGTGCTACACACACACACACACACACACACACACACACACACACACACACACAATGCAGTTTAAAAAATATTTGTGTCTGAGTGTTTTGCTTATGAATGTGTATCAAGCATGTGCCTGGTGCCCTCAGAGACCAGAGGAGGGTGTTAGATACCTTGGGATTGGAATTACAGATGTGAGTCACTGTGAGGGTCCTGGAAATTGAACTCTACTAAACACTAAGCCACCCCTCCAGCCTGCTAATTTCTTTTTAATTGCAAAGCCAGACTTAGTGGCACACACCTACATTCTCAGCAATCAAGAGGCAGAGGCAGGTGCCAGAGACAAGGCTCAGGGGTTAAGAGCACTGGCTGTGCCTCCAGAGGACCTGGGTATGATTCTCAGCACCCACCTGGGGCTCACAATTGTCTGTAACTTCAGTCTCAGGCATCCAATGCCCTCTGCTGGCCTCCATGGACATCACACACACACACACACACACACACACACACACACACACACACGCAAAACACCTATACATATACATTAAAAATGAAGAAAAAAAGAGGCAGAAGCCTGTGGATTGTTGAAAGTTCTAGGATACCCTGGTCTACATAGTTCTTGGTCAGTCTGGGCTAGATGGTAAGAGAATGTCTTTTTTATTTTAAAGCACAAATCCAAACAACAAAACCATGAACCGCAGCTACAACCTCTGTGAAATTTGAAAATATTATGCTGGGGCTAGAGAGATGGCTCAGGGGTTAAGAGCACCGACTGCTCTTCCAGAGGACCCAGGTTCTTTTCCCAGTACCCACAAGGCAGCTCACATCTGTCTGTAACTCCAGTTCCAGGGGATCTGACGTCCTTAAACCAATGCATGTAAAATATAATAACATATTTTTAAAAAGAGAAAATATTATGCTAATGAAAGAAGCCAGCTACAAAAGGACACACATGAAATTATTGCACTTTTTGGAAATTCCACAACATGTAAACTATGAGGCACAAGCAGAGCAGGCCTGGGGAGAGCTGTGAAGAGGGCCAGGAAGTGAACGTGGGTGGGAAGTGGGCTTTTGGGGAGGTATGGTACATGCTTTGGAATTCAACACTGGTGAAGCTTGTGCAATCCTGCAAAGCCCTAACAGCACTGATGGATGCAGTAGACATTCAAAGTGGTGAATGCTCTTCCTGCCCCAGCCTCCTGAGAAGGGGATCACAGGTGTGTGCCAGCCTGGCTGGCTCTAAAAAATTTGATTTAAGCCGGGCGTTGGTGGCGCATGCCTTTAATCCCAGCACTCGGGAGGCAGAGGCAGGCGGATCTCTGTGTGTTTGAGACCAGCCTGGTCTACCGAGCGAGTTCCAGGACAGCCTCCAAAGCCACAGAGAAACCCTGTCTTAAAAAAACAAAAACAAAAAAGAAGTGAAGGAGACACCCAAATCAATGTCCGGAGGCAGCAGCTAGCACACGAGGAAAGTCGATACCTGCTTCTTCCCAGACATGTGTGGACATTAAGTTAAACACAATCACGAGAACCAGCATGAGCCCCAGACACCCTTCAGAGGAGTGGGGCCTTGCCTGCCTTAGCCTAGGGTGCAGCTCAGGCCAGTGGGCTCCGGCAGCACAGCTGGACCCTGAAACCGAGGGATAGCGCAAGGCGGCACCCAGGGAACACTGCAGGACACTGACGAGGAGGAGCTCTTCACATCTGTCTCCTCCACCTGCCATTCTTGGGGCCTTGTGAGGCTGCACTCATGAGCCTCCCAAGCTACGTGTCACTCGAGGTCACAGCCTGAGAGAGCGCCCGAGGTCTTCTGCCTTCAGACCTAGGCTCTTTCCAAAGTGGACCCCAAGCATCTGCACGGGCAATAACTTCCCCCTGGAATTTGGGAGAGGAAGGGGGAGGAGGGAAGGAAGAGGGAGAGAAGACACGGAGGGAGGGAGGGGCGGTCTGAAACCTAGTCCTCAGTGGCCAGTAGGGTTGGGGAACAATCAGACATTGTCTCTCTACTCCCCGCCCCCAGGCTGCCATGACTTTCATCACTGACCTAACCCAGAGGGCAGAGAACTCGAGGTGCAGGGGGCAGGGGCGAGTCAGAGGTCAGTCTTTGCATGCTGAGCTGGGCCGTGGCTGGAGGGACCTGGGGGCCTCTGAGGTATATATCCCACTGCTGGCCTAGTCAGCTGACTGAAGGCAGTGGCTGAGAAGAAAGGGTGGCCACGGTGGTGGGATGATGACAGTCACTCATTTATCCAAACAGACCCGTGTGGAACGCTGGCCATGTGCTGGCCACCTTGCTAGGAGTTGGGGAGAGAGGGTGATTTGATTAGGCTACGTTCCAGACTCTGGGAGCTTACAATATGATAGAGAGCTGGTCAGTAAGCAAATATATACACACACAACACAGACCACCACATATGAACACACAGTGACCCTGCTGGCCTCCTAGTTTATCTCCTGTCACCCTCCAAACAGTGTGGTATACACTCTGCTGGGGTCTCTGCCAACTGCCTCCACACTGCCATCCCCAAAGTCTCCCCAGAGACAGAATGAATAGAGCCAGTCACCTACTCCATCGAGTTCATCTTGGAATTAGCGATTTCCTCTATTTTGCCCGCCATTCCCACTTGGTCCTAAGAGCTTGTCAGCAGCAGGCTCCACTTGTCCCTTTCGCTGTATGTCATCTTGACTGGACTTGGCAAGTGCTCAATAAATATTTATAAAATGAACTTAGGAATGAGTGAATGGGTCAGACCCATCCCTGCCGTCTTGACCCTCAAAGTGACCTTCAATGCCACGGACAGGTCAGAGTGAGGAGTGTAAGCTTGTGCTGGGTCACAGCAGCTGAGAGGTAGAGGGTCAGGCACAACCTGGCATTCAAATAACCAGCCTCACCCATTGTGCACACACTGCAGACTCTCGGGCTCTGCAGTCAGCCCTGAGTCAGCAGGCTCTGACCCCGGCGATGGGCTATTTTGGCACTCTTAGGTAGTACTGGAAATAGCCACCAGGGGGCAGCACTACCCCAGGAAAAGGATGTGTGATGGTAAGTGGTTCTGGGGAGTGAATCTGATGCAGGGAACCACAGAGGTGCAATCTTGGCAGACTCAGGGGCTGCAACTTGCACGCGGTGGCAAGCTTTAAGTGGCATGGCTAAGAGAGGTCCGTGTCTGCTTGGAGAGAATGGGGAGCAGGGGCTTGTTCAAGGAGGAATGAACGGGGATCAACCTA